GCGTAGAAAAGAAACCGTTGGCTGTCTAAGTGAGTTTGATTCATACATTGATGGTTCGAGTTGTTAATTACATGCTGCAGTGAGCAGTTTAGCACCAGTTAATGATTTAATGCACAAGCACTGCTGTAGTTTATATAACAACACTCTCCAACAGCAGAATGGTACTTTTATTTCTCTTAAGTCTAATTCCTAGTCATAATAGAATTATATCTTAGTTTTACCGGCAATATACAGTTTGTGATTGCATTTTATATATCCAGATATGTCCAGACGTGCAGTCTACCAATAACAGGAGAGCTACAGCAGTAGGAACGCCCACAAGCGTCTTCACAGCTTATTCTGGGTCCGAATAAAACATCAGATCATGCACAGACTATCCTGTCTCTTTGAATTTAAATATATATTTATTCACACCGGCTACCCCGCGTAATCTACGCCCCTGCCTGTGACCTTACCAGTACATTTAGGAAAAGGGTTGCTCCATTCTCCATTTGACTGACAGGTGATTTTTTTCTGTCCTTGTAATGTCGATCCACTCCCAACACATGAAAAAGTTATTGTCTGTCCTGGTCTGACTGAGACCTCAAACCCCGGGTGTTCGTCTGATCTCATGTTCTCTGTGAGTTTTGCAACACATTTTGTTTCTAAAAACAGAAAGATCTGGTCAAGCAAGCATCTTCCATGTGTATCACAAATCTATCTTTGCTCAGTCAGAAGCTTTTACTTGCTGTGTGTTTACCTTCACATTTATATAAAGGGCTGCTCCATTCTCCATTTGACTGACAGGTGATTTCTCTCTGTCCTATTAAAATCAGAAAAAAGACTCTAATCTACCAGCAGGAGCAGCGTGTGGATCTGAAAACTCCTCACTGTTACGAAAGTATTCTGACACATGTCAGCATGACATCACATGAAGTCTCTATTATTGTGAAGTTTGATTCAATATGTGAACAGATTAATTTGATTACTGTGCTGCATGCATTTCAATATAAAAATAGTATCATAAAATAAAAACAAACAAATTGCATCAAAATATGAAATTATATTATAAAATAGAATGTATAATATAAAATTTAAACAATATGAATTATACAACATAATATATATTGTAGTTAAATATATAAAATAATGTCATCTAACATTATGTAAAATATTTTTGGAGCAATATGCAAAATAGTATATAAAAATATATACAAAATATATACAGTGGCTCTGAAACAATTGATTTGATTTTGATTGTAGAGAGCATTTGATTTGACAAAAATGTGTGCAGTGCAGGATGAGTGATCAGTATTTCTGCTGTTTTCCCAGAAAAGAAAAACAAGTACATTTTAAACGCATGTAACATTACATTAGCAGATGGACTCAGAGTGCCATAACTCAAATGATGATTTCACTAGGTCTTCACAGCAAATTGAGTTTGTAAATATTGGCAGCACTACCACAAAATTATCTAGAGTTTTGATGTTATTCCTTCCTGATTTTCAAATATCTATTTTGATTTTCACCTATAAGAATGCCATTTTATAATCTCTAATTTTAAAATAATTGTCTAATCTGGCATTTTCTAATCTGCAGTTTTAAAAGACATTTTATCATCACCAACCAAAACCTCACCTTGACATGTTGGTGTGTTTTCCCATGTTCCACTTTGGCAGAAAACTGTACTTTTCTCATTCATTAAGTATGAGCTTCGACATACGTATGTTACAGTAGATCCAGGTAAATAAAATTCTTTAGGTTCAGATGTTATGACTGCATTTTCCACATTTGGAGGAATGCCACAACGCACCTCTGAAAAAAAAAAATGATTGAAATTCATGAACTCCAATAAGACTGATTTTAATATTGTTGGGAGATTATATTGTCCAGCCCACTGTATGCACAGCTGCTCCTATTACAAAATGTAATAAGAGTTTGAGAGACTCACCTTTACACACTGGTGTCTCCCATCTACCATTGGTGCATTTTATGAAGGGTTCAGTTGATATGAACCCTGGATCACATTCCACTTCAGCAGTTTCTCGATCACGACGGGTTTGCTTTAGTTTTCCATGGTGAACACTGGGAAGAGCACCACATTCTTCCTCCCCTGTAAAGACCAACGACAGGAAGCACTTTTCAGTGCACTATCATTCCTCAAACACCTGAGACTGACAATAATAAAACTCACGGATGCAGCGAGGCTCGTCAGACCAAGATCCTTTGCTGCATGTCACTGAATCCCACCAGTTTCCAGTGAATGGTTTATAACCCGTGTTGCAGGAGTAAAATATTTTTTCCTTATTGAAGGAGTGGCTGTATATGAACCCATTTTCCACAGATAGATCAGGGCACAATTTTTGATTTGCTGTGAGGAAACAGATTTAAAACTCTTCAAAATTCTTATTTCATATGTTGTTGCTATTACCGTTTAGATATATAATAATTTGATATTGAAAAAGTTATTCTATCTGTAATGTATGTGAGGGATAATGTACCAGCCGGTTGTTATTGCAGAATAACCCCCGACAAGGTGATCAGGATCTTTTTTTCTATCACCCTGAAGGGGGTTATTCTGCGATAACAACTGGCTGGATGTACATTATCCCACTTATTACATGGCTACTTGCCACATAAGTAAATAATTAGACACAAAAATATTGATTTGAGTTGAAATATTTGAACACAAAGATTCCGTTAAGACTGCAGTTGTGAGCAAGCGGCAAATTCAAACTAGACGGACATTTAAAGGGGTCATATGATGTTGCTAAAAAGAACATTATTTTGTGTATTTGGTGTAATTCAATGTGTTTATGCGGTTTGAGGCTCAAAAAAACACATTATTTTCCACATAATGTACATTATTGTTTCTCCTCTATGCCCCGCCTTTCTGAAACGCGTTGATTTTTACAAAGCTCATCGGTCTGAAAAGCGAGGTGTGCTGTGATTGGCCAGCTATCCAGTGCGTTGTGATTGGCCGAATTCCTCAAGCATGTGACGGAAATGTTACGCCCCTTACCATACTGTGATGACGTGTCCCGGCGCGACGAGACAAAACCAGTAAAACCCATTATAAATGAGGCATTTGTTGCATCCAGTGGGGACATAATTACTGATTATAATGACTTATACTGTCTTTTTACGCGTTGCGTTGCGTATCGCGCTGCATAAACATAAAACCATGTCTGCATTTGTGAT